TGGGGTAAACAAAACATAAAGTCAAAAATACAACAGAAAATATGTATACAGTGTGTGCGAATGTAGTAGATTATGGAGGTAAGGCAATAAATAGGCCATAGTGCAAAATAGTTACAATTTCGTATTAAGACTGGAATGATAGATGTGCAAAAGATGATGTGCAAATAGAGATACTGGGGTGCAAATTAGCAAAATAAATAACAATATGGGGATGAGGTAGTTGGATGGGCTAATTTTAGAATGGCTGTGTGCAGGTGCAGTGATCGGTAAGCTGCTCTGACAACTGACGCTTAAAGTTAGTGAGGGAGATAGGATTCTCCAGCTTCAGAGATTTTTGCAGTTCGTTCCAGTCATTGGCAGCAGAGAACTGGAAGGAATGGCGGCCAAAGGAGGTGTTGGCTTTGGGGATGACCAGTGAGATATACCTGCTGGAGCGCAGACTACGGGTGGGTGTTGCTATGGTGACCAGTGAGCTAAGATAAGACGGGGATTTGCCTAGCAGTGATTTATAGATGACCTGGAGCCAGTGGGTTTGGCGACGAATATGTAGTGAGGGCCAGCCAACAAGAGCGTACAGGTCACAATGGTGTGTAGTATATGGGGCTTTGGTGATAAAACGGATGGCACTGTGATAGACTACATCCAATTTGCTGAGTAGAGTGTTGGAGGCTATTTTGTAAATGACATCGCCAAAGTCAAGGATCGGTAGAATAGTCAGTTTTACGAGGGCATGTTTGGCAGCATGAGTGAAGGAGGCTTTGTTGCGAAATAGGAAGCCAATTCTAGATCTAACTTTTGATTGGAGATGCTTAATGTGAGTCTGGAAGGAGAGTTTACAGTCTAACCAGACACCTAGGTATTTGTAGTTGTCCACATACTCTAGGTCAGACCCGCCGAGAGTAGTGATTCTAGTCGGGTGGGCGGGTGCAAGCAGCGTTCGGTTGAAGAGCATGCATTTAGTTTTACTAGTGTTTAAGAGCAGTTGGAGGCTACGGAAGGAGTGTTGTATGGCGTTGAAGCTCGTTTGGAGGTTTGTTAACACAGTGTCCAATGAAGGGCCAGATGTATACAAAATGGTGTCGTCCGCATAGAGGTGGATCCGAGTGTCACCAGCAGCAAGAGCGACATCATTGATATACACAGAGAATAGAGTCGGCCTGAGAATTGAACCCTGTGGCACCCCCATAGAGACTGCCAGAGGTCCAGACAACAGGCCCTCTGATTTGACACATTGAACTCTATCTGAGAAGTAGTTGGTGAATCAGGCGAGGCAGTCATTTGAGAAACCAAGGCTATTTAGTCTGCCAATAAGAATGCTGTGGTTGACAGAACATCAGCTGTCTGAATTTGTGTAAAGGAGAAGTGGGGGGGGGGCATGGGCAAGTTGCAGCGGAGGGTGCAGAGCTGGTGGCCGAGGAGGTGGTAGCCTGGTGGAAAGCATAGCCAGCCGTAGCAAAATGCTTGTTGAAATTCTCGATTATTGTAGATTTATCGGTGGTGACAGTGTTTCCTAGCCTCAGTGCAGTGGGCAGTTGGGAGGAGGTGCTCTTATTCTCCATGGACTTTCCAGTGTCCCAAAACTTTTTGGAGTTAGTGCTACAGGATGCAAATTTCTGTTTGAAAAAGCTAGCATTTGCTTTCCTAACTGATTGTGTATATTGGTTCCTGACTTCCCTGAAAAGTTGCATAGCTGTTCGATGCTAATGCAGTACGCCACAGTTGTCCTGTTGGAAGGTGAACCTTTGCCCCAGTCTGAGGTCCTGAGCTCTCTGGAACAGGTTTTCATCAAGGATCTCTCTGTACTTTGCTCCGTTCATCTTTCCCTCGATCCTGACTAGTCTCCCAGTCCCTGCTGCTGAAAAACATCCCCACAGCATGATGCTGCCACCACCATGCTTCACTGTAGGGATGGTGCCAGGTTTCCTCCAGATGTGACTCTTGGCATTCAGGCCAAAGAATTCAATCTTGGTTTCATCAGACCAGAGAATCTTGTTTCTCATGGTCTGTCCTTTAGGTGCCTTTTGGCAAACTCCAAGCAGGCTGTCATGTGCCTTTTATTGAGGAGTGGCTTCCGTCTGGCCATAAAGGCTTGATTGGTGGAGTGCTGCAGAGATGGTTGTCCTTCTGGAATGTTATCCCATCTCCACAGAGGAACTGCAGCTTTGTCAGAGTGACCATCGGGTTCTTGGTCACCTCCCAGGCCAAGGACCTTCTCCCCCGATTGCTCAGTTTGGCCGGGCGGCCAGCTCTATGAAGAGTCTTGGTGGTTCCAAACTTCTTCCATTTAAGAATGATGGAGGACACTGTGTTCTTGGGGACCTTCAATGCTGCAGACATTTTTTGGTACCCTTCCCCAGATCTGTGCCTCGACACAATCCTGTCTCTGAGCTCTAAGGACAATTCCTTCGAGCTCATGGCTTGGTCTTTGCTCTGACATGCACTCTCAACTGTGGGACCTTATATAGCCTTTCCAGATCATGTCCAATCAATAGAATTTACCACAGGTGGACTCCACCTATTTATGTTTTTTATTTTTAATACATTTGCAATTTTGATAAACCTGTTTTCGCTTTGTCAGTATGGGGTATTGTGTGTAGATTGATGGTGATTATTTTTTTTATCAATTTTAGAATAAGGCTGTAACATAACAAAATGTGGAAAAAGTCAAGGGGCTTGAATACTTTCCGAATGCACTGTATATATCATTTGAAAGGTAATTTCATGACCTTTCAGAACCACTTGTCAAACACAGTTTAAAATGTATCAGGGTTTCCTTTTTAAAGCAATTTAAACAGGTAATTCTGATATGTACCCTAGAGGTGAAATCTCAAAGTGTTGTTGACCTGACCATTCCTGAAAATGTGTCTGATGGATAGCTGTGAAGCTTTCCATTTATGATTAAATGATATAACTTGTTTTATACTGATAATGTTTGTCATAGAATAAAAGCCCTATTGGAAAAATTCATGAGATGGAGGGTGAAAGAAATAGTGATAACAGTAAGCTCCCGTTGCTGCAATGCTATCACACATTTTCCAACACTAGGGCAGGGACATAGACCGAGAGCCCACATTTGGGGGGCTGGCTCATAGACATTTACATTACATTTACGTCATTTAGCAGACGCTCTTATCCAGAGCGACTTACACTACTATTAATGACCCCGAGCCCAAGGCCAATAAATGCCATGAACATGCTGGCTTTGCCAAACAAATATCCCTTCCCTGTGTCCAGATTCTGGTAGAGCGAGTGTAGCGTCTGCAGGTGATTTCGTTTGGCTATCATTCCTCGTTCACCTGACAGTGGCACAGATTCATCACTCCACTGGTACGATAGGTGGCGGTAATGATCCAGTAAACTCATTACAAACCCTAGAGAAGTAGTACGATTCAATGACCAAACTGTTGCCGTTGCAGTGGGTGGAGGAAGTCAAACAAGACAGAGTAGTTATTTGCTCTGATTCATGTGCAGTGTTAATGAGTCTCCAGTCCTTTAGCTCACGTAGCAGACAAGACCTGCTTTATGAGATGCTACAAACCCATGGCAGGATTAAACAGATGGGTATTCAGATAAGATTTACTTGGGTCCCAGCCCATGTGGGGGTGGAGGGGAACGAGGCAGTAGATGAACAGGCTAAACAAGCACTCAGTAGTGGGGATGTTGATGTTGAAGTTTCAATGAGCAAGTCAGAGGCAAAAATAATGATATATACAGTGATGGTGCAGAGATGTCAGTGGAATAGAGATAATAAGGGAAGGCATTTATTTCAAGTACAGAGGAAAGTCGGGGAGGGGAGGACGGCAGGAAGGGACAGAAGAGAGGAGGCTATTTTTTTACAAGATTTTACAGCCAGTTGAATAAGACATTAAATGTGTTAGGAAAGCATCCAACAGGAAAGTGTGATTATTGTCAGGAAACAGAGACCGTGGAGCATGTATTGCTACAGTGTGGGAAGTATCAGAGGGAAAGAGCGAGGATGAGATCTAGTATGAGGGAGAAAGGGATACAGGAAATTAGTTGAAAGAGTATATTGAGTAGAACGACATTAGATATAGTCTCAAATATTGTATTATATTTTTTAAAAGCAACGGGGCTGGCAGGTAGGATTTAGTTTCTCCCTGTCTCTGGTCCACACTCCAGTACAGTAGGGAGCGGTAATGCACCATAACGTTGGATGCCAACCGCCGATAAACGCACTGAATAATAAGATGAAGAAGTAGTAGGAGTCAAAGTTGAACGATTTACGCATGTGACATTGAAAACGAGAAGGGGTAAATGCAATTTTCTGATAATTTGGAATTGTATGTTATATATGTTGTTTTGCTATCTATTTTAGTTGCGTTTTCTGGATTGTGGAGGCTATTGATTCCTCGGCATGCATCTCTCTTTTCAAGCAAACTAACGTTAGCTAACTGTCACAACAATGTAGCTAGCTAGCTACATTGCTAGCACTAGTTTTGTCGGGTTAGCTACTAAAATGTAGCTAACTAGCTACATATCCGCTTGCCAACATACGAGTAACCAGAAAATATCCGGTGTGTTTTGCTATAGCTAGAGGAACGATTGCCATTCTGGCTAGCATAGCCAATGTTATCCAGCATCTGGCAATGTCAGTGTTGCGTTCAATTCAACGTCAATATTTTGCGTTTGTGTCAATAATGAAAATGCACACTGTTATTCACACGGTGTATACTTAAAAAATAATGTAATCTATTTTATAATCAACTTTTCATCATAACAAAAAATTTGCTAATCAGCACATTTAATCTTCTCTATCTAGCAAACTAGCTAGGCCTATATACATTTACATTTACGTCATTTAGCAGACGCTCTTATCCAGAGCGACGTACAAATAGCTGTATACTGTATGGGGATCCATAATTAGGCTGTTGAGTAGTAAATGTTGAAAGATCATCACTTCTCTTTGTCTCCCTTTGATTTTTACAAACCACACACACACACCAATGTAGTAAAATTCTATGTTTTAATTTTTTGGGCCAGGAAAATGCGATTAACAGCCTTACTGTCAATGGCCGCTAAGGCTGCCTTCCCTAAAGACTACCGCTATGGTACAAGTCGGCCATGGACCATAGCTGCCAAGAGATTGAACCCACCAGGCAAGAAGAGAAGAAAGGTGTTCGTTGAGCCCATAGCTTATGAGGACTGGTCTGTTTTCAAAGGGGACACAGTAAGTGGTCATGCCAAAAGGACAATGAAGACTTTTAGATATCGAATATAGCCAGTATATAGCCAGTATACTATGGTTAAGGGCTGTTCTTACACTGAATATGTTATGGTTCACTCCAAACACTGGTATTGCAGCTGTATGCCTAATTCCTTTGCAGATATACCAGTTATTAGACACGAACAAACTGTTAGGCAAACCATTGAGTTGATCAATTCCTTGCTATAAAGTCAACACATGGAAGGTCATGATAATGAGTTGTAGGACTGAGAAGGGAGGGTCACTGTCAAGGTTTATTCAGCCATTAGCCTAATGTTTTGATGCTTTGATATTCTAAACTAGTATTCCACCTTGACCAGGTTGAGATTCTCTCTGGGAAAGACAAAGGAAAGCAGGGCAAAGTGGCCCAGGTCTTCAGACACAGAAACTGGGTCATCCTGGACGGGCTGAACACGGTAAGAATCCCAGTCATCACTGTAAGAGGGGATATGTTTGCCACTTCCATAACAGAGAACACATTCATACACTGCATTCAGTATAAACACCCAACAATTTTATACATACTGTATAACCCACTTGAAATAGTGCCAGCTATGGTGGTTGTTGCATAGTCACCTATTTATTTTATCTTAGCATTTTAGAAAACCGTCCCTACTACCAAAGAGGAGCTTCATAAATGCCCGGTTCCATTGCTTGATGGGCTTCCTTCTAACATTTTTATCATACCGGTTTCTAGTGCACTGTCTTTGAATCTGGGTAGCCTTCTCAAGGCTTCACAGGCCAAGCTACAGTTGCAAAAGCAAAGACCAGGGCCCGGTTTCATCGTTAGAACCATAGCATCCTATTTTAAGAGCAACTCACAAACTAGGCTTAATGCCATCCAGTAATTGATTTTGCTCCCATCATTACAGTGAATTTTGTCATGTTTTGGCCTATGATGATAAACAAGTATGGCATGTTTCCGTTAACAAACACTGCATTTTTATGTTGAACCCCACTTTATATTATAAAAAAGGATATGGCCCTTTTTAGGCTACGTTACAGGAATGTTACAAACCGTGGACATTGATTTCAACAGCAAGTTCTGTTATCTCTGCAATGTTTGAATAGATTAAATTAATCCAGTATTTCTCCATCTTAGCATTTCAGGTACATTGGGAAATCAGCAGATTACCGGGGAACCTACATTGCCAGTGAAGCTCCCCTCCTACTCCGAGACATCTCACTCGTCGACCCCACTGACCGGTGAGTCCCAGAGCAGTATGGGGAGGTCCAGATTCGAACATTTGTCTATGCCCATGATCACCAACCCTGTTTCTAGGTAGTTGCTGGGTGTGCAGGCTTTAGTAACAGCCCAATACTGAAACAACTGATTCAGTTAACCAGGGCTGCAGTGGAAAAGTCTCATGTTATTCATACCTTTACCACAGGGTGGTGCAGAAAACACCCATGCAAAAAAAGAGCGGAACAACAGCCTGCTCACGCAGTAGCTATCCAGAACCAGGGTTTGTGTCCATGCTCAGAGTTTAGTTTTGGATTTAGTTTAGATTTTCAGTCGATTTTATGTGCAGGACTTGTATTTAAAGGTGCAATAAATAGCGTTTTTGTACACAGATGTACCCAAATTTCTATTGTATTTAAATAGTTTATGATTAGTGAATGCTTTGACTTGAACCCTGACTGATCCTGACTACTTTAGTCCTGAGTTTGATACCAAACATGACTCCTGTCTGTTGTTCCAACAGGAAACCCACCGAGGTGGAGTGGAGGTTCACAGAGGAGGGGGAGAAGGTGCGCGTTTCCCTCAGGACGGGCCGCATTGTCCCCAAACCAGTGTTCCAGCGCAGAGACGGCATCGTACCGCAGCAGTGGAAGGGTGAGTCTGCGTTTGTGGAGGGAGGAACAGAGGCTAGAGGAAGGTCAAAGAAATCTAGATGGATTGAGGTTGAGAGGGAGCTTTTGTGAATGAGAGTCGAGCTTGTCAGAAATGTGGGTGAAGATGAGTGCGTGGAAAAGCAGAACAGAAGCTGGTCTGGGTGATGTATAAGGAACGCCTTTATTTGTTTATAGTGGCAATCAGCAGTTGAAACAATAACAAAGCGGCATCCCCGCCCCTGTTTTGGTAAAAGCTGAGGGATGGGACTGGAGAAATGTAACCACTCAAATTCATACAGAGTTATGGATGCAAACCATACATGATATCAACATTCTACACTGCTCAAAAAAATAAAGGGAACACTTAAACAACACATCCTAGATCTGAATGAATGAAATAATCTTATTAAATACTTTTTTTCTTTACATAGTTGAATGTGCTGACAACAAAATCACACAAATTATCAATGGAAATCAAATTTATCAACCCATGGAGGTCTGGATTTAGAGTCACCCTCAAAATTAAAGTGGAAAACCACACTACAGGCTGATCCAACTTTGATGTAATGTCCTTAAAACAAGTCAAAATGAGGCTCAGTAGTGTGTGGCCTCCACGTGCCTGTATGACCTCCCTACAACGCCTGGGCATGCTCCTGATGAGGTGGCGGATGGTCTCCTGAGGGATCTCCTCCCAGACCTGGACTAAAGCATCCGCCAACTCCTGGACAGTCTGTGGTGTAACGTGGCGTTGGTGGATGGAGCGAGACATGATGTCCCAGATGTGCTCAATTGGATTCAGGTCTGGGGAACGGGCGGTCCATAGCATCAATGCCTTCCTCTTGCAGGAACTACTGACACACTCCAGCCACATGAGGTCTAGCATTGTCTTGCATTAGGAGGAACCCAGGGCCAACCGCACCAGCATATGGTCTCACAAGGGGTCTGAGGATCTCATCTCGGTACCTAATGGCAGTCAGGCTACCTCTGGCGAGCACATGGAGGTCTGTGCGGCCCCCCAAAGAAATGCCACCCCACACCATGACTGACCCACCGCCAAACCGGTCATGCTGGAGGATGTTGCAGGCAGCAGAACGTTCTCCACGGCGTCTCCAGACTCTGTCACGTCTGTCACATGTGCTCAGTGTGAACCTGCTTTCATCTGTGAAGAGCATAGGGCGCCAGTGGCGAATTTGCCAATCTTGGTGTTCTCTGGCAAATGCCAAACGTCCTGCACGGTGTTGGGCTGTAAATACAACACCCACCTGTGGACGTCGGGCCCTCATACCACCCTCATGGAGTCTGTTTCTGACCATTTGAGCAGACACATGCACATTTGTGGCCTGCTGGAGGTCATTTTGCAGGGCTCTGGCAGTGCTCCTCCTGCTCCTCCTTGCACAAAGGCGGAGGAAGCAGTCCTGCTGCTGGGTTGTTGCCATCCTACGGCCTCCTCCACGTCTCCTGATGTACTGGCCTGTGTCCTGGTAGCGCCTCCATGCTCTGGACACTACGCTGACAGACACAGCAAACCTTCTTGCCACAGCTCGCATTGATATGCCATCCTGGATGAGCTGCACTACCTGAGCCACTTGTGTGGGTTGTAGACTCCGTCTCATGCTACCACTTGATTGAAAGCACCGCCAGCATTCAAAAGTGACCAAAACATCAGCCAGGAAGCATAGGAACTGAGAAGTGGTCTGTGGTCACCACCTGCAAAACCAGTACTTTATTGGGGGTGTCTTGCTAATTGCCTATAATTTCCACCTGTTGTCTATTCCATTTGCACAACAGCATGTGAAATTTATTATCAATCAGTGTTGCTTCCTAAGTGGACAGTTTGATTTCACAGAAGTGTGATTGACTTGGAGTTACATTGTGTTGTTTAGGTGTTCCCTTTATTTTTTTGAGCAGTGTATATTTTTTTGAGGCTATATAGTGTTTGTTTACATTTACTTTGTTTACAAAGATTGGAGTAAAACAAGCTTACATTTTGGGTTCTGATAGGGTACGACAGTTGAACTAAGCTCATGAGGCATTAATAAGTTACATTTTCAAGAATCAATGGGTACTTGTCATTAATTTATAAGTTAAAAAAATTATGTAGCAACCGCAGATTGCCCCTTTAAAGGCCCAATGCAGCTATTTTGATCTCCATATCAAATCATTTCTAGATAACAATTAAGTACCTTGCTGTAATTTGTCAAAGAAACAAAAATAGTTTTTTGCTAGGACTGTTTGGGAGTGGTCTGAGTGATGGACCTAATTGAAAAGCCTAATGGGAGGGATGTGTAACCTCAACTAGCTTTTATTGGCAGAGAGGTTTAGAACTCTCTTTGTTATTGGTCTATTAAAGGTCCAATGCAGCAGTTTCTATCTCAATATCAAATAATTTCTGGGTAACAATTAAGTACCTTAGCAAAGGGCAATTTCTCAAGCAAGAATTTTGCTAGGACTGTTTGGGAGTGATCTGAGTAGGAAGGGGAAAACTAAAAACTAGCTGTTATTGGCAGAGAGGTCTTTCTTATTGGTCTATTAACTAATTTACCGCCTGGCAGGCCCAATCTCCATCCCACCAAAACAGGCTGAAATTTCAGGCAGTCTTTTCAAACCACTAGTGTGGAAATATATATAAACCACAGGAAAATCACATTTTTGACTACACTGGGCTTTTAACTTATACCACCTTGTGAAGTCACCAGGCAGGCCATAACTCCACCCATGCAAAACCTGCTGATTACAAGGTCCTGTGTAGATTGTATTTTCAACCAGCAACTATCAGAAAATAACACTGATAAAAAAAAAAAAACTTGTGTTAGTTTCATCAGCTGTTGTACAAATATTACACAAAGAAACACAGGAAAACTTAACTTAATTTCGACTCCACTGGGCCTTTTAAATCATTTTATTATATCAATGTGAGAATTGTGCTGAAGTTAACATTTCCCTGCGTCTCTAGTCAGAATTTGGCCTATGATTAGGATAATTTTGTAGTCCCTCCATAATTATGCGATGGCCAATTCCCTGCATATTTGATCAATTACCGCATAAAACATTGCAATATCGCATAAAAGTGACCGATCACACACTACAAAAACAGGGCTCGCCATTTCAACCAATCGCACACATTTACTGCATAATATGGTTCAATCAAGCCACACATCAACAAACTTTTTCCTTCGTCAGTGCATTTTCGTCAATCACATAATAATGTCTAGGGTGATGTGTGCCGTATGATAGACTGGAAGTTAGGTGAGTTGGCTCAGCCACATGCTTGTATAATTAGTGTAAGAATACATACCCTTTCTTCTGAATTGACACCCCTAATTTTGGAAACCCCTTATTGGTTGGTGTCTGCCATCCCAGACGGCCCCAAGGACACCAGTCCGGAGGACACCCTGGAGAAGACTTACACGCCCTCCCTCAAGACACTGGAGGAGGAGGTGATGGAGAAACTGGGCATCGAGGAACCCAGGAGGAACCGGAAGACCTACTGGTACTGAGGGGGGAGACCCTCTGGTGTCTGGGCCACGGGTTGGGGCATTGCATCCACGGTATCCCTACTGACTGCTCTTTATGGACCTACTGTAGGCCTATATCTGTGTATTAAAGAAATGTTCCACATCGCTCAGTCCTGATGGATATCAGTGGAAATGGGTTGAGTGAGTACAGTAATGTGATGGGAACCATCATGTGCACACAGAAATGTAACTGGATTACAGGTCCTCTTTCAGGCATAAATTCAGCAGAAGTCACTATTTATGATGCTTTCAGAGTTTGTCTCAAATGTTTTGGTTCGTTTTCATGTCTTAAATAAATCTCTAAATAATCTACAATCCTATTATTGATTTGACTTTAAGTTTTCCTAGATAGTGGGAGATAAAAATGAACAGTAGAAGTAATCCTAATGTTTCTGTGCTACAAATTGAGCATGTACATGCTGTAAATGCTACATCTGCTTTTGGCTACTTTAGTTATCCATTCAGATGTTGAACAAGTGGTCTTGTCAAAGCATCCCTAAGTGAACTTATGTCTAAGACTTACATGAATACGTGTAAAACTGCAAAGACGTCTCGTGTTACCAAAACTGCACAATCGGCAACTAATTCAAGCTTTTTAAACAGGGTTTTACTTTGCAGGACGGAACTTGGCATTTGAGGGACAGTTTGACAGATGGAGAGCTCAAAATGTGACAGACGGGCTGAAATCAGAGTTAAGGAGAAAGACGTCAAGGCTCTAAAGTTCCAAGCTGCAGCAAACGCAGTGCCAGGAAAAAAAAAAAAAAGCTGCCAGCCTCTCTTGTAAAAACGGTTCGTGAGGATGAAGTAGAAAATACCTTAAGTCATTACTCATTTTGGGAAGCTCACCGCCACTTTGACCATTTATTATATGTTAAAAATAGATATACTACTGGGGCCAGGGTGTAATAATGCCATTTTAAGCTTAAAGACAAATGTCTGGGTCTCTCTTTCTAATACGTCTGAAGGAAAGAGGTGTAGGACCAAGTAATGGAGATACTCCAGAAGGAAATCCATAGCAAGGGAGTGGCGAGGAGCGGGAAGTCTTCTCAATAGGCCCACACTCCCCTCATTTGATTAGGGTGTCGTCTTATATGCCCAGTCACCTCATTTGACTGTTGGAAGCTGGATATGTGTGACAGTCAAACATTTACCGCAGGGTGGTGTACAAAAGACTCATACAAGTTTTATATGATGGCCAAGAAGGGGAAAGCCCACCCCCAAAAAATAACAGTACTGAACTGTTGAAAGTCCATGATTTATAATTGATTAATCTTTACTTTTTATTTAATAGAAGTGTAATAATATTCTGCCTTAGTCAACTGAAAAGGAATCTTCATAAGTCTTTTTTTGTCACTGTGACATCCTGCTTGTTCATTTGCATAATTTAAAATAGCAGCTGCAAAGGTATACTGTATGTAATATGGATGCATCCATTTCATCATTTTATACTGTCGGTCCAGTTGATGCTTAGATTAGCTGAAGCTCATAAACAAACCTCATCTAAAGACATCCCATCTCCAGATCTCATTTTCTCTTCCGCTTGCTCAGAAGTTCTCCACTCGCTCAATGGTTTGCATTGTGCTTCCTCGCTTTTTGTCGAGTGGCTTTCTGTGTGTCTTTTCAGTTATTAACTTGTCTGTTTTCTGTTGGCGTGTGTGTCTTTTGATTCAGTGCCTAGCTTGTCTGGCCACTTTAAATAGACAATTTTCTCTGTAGCCATACTCTTTGCACTATGAACAAAGGAATACATCACATGCGCGCCACACACACACACTGTTAATTGTGCCGCAGACTGCCGTTAATCATCGTGTTTGACTCTGAGGCTCAACCGTATCTGTGTGTGTGTATAAAACCCTCAAAACCATAATGTATATTCTTTTTCCAAACACCACCGCTGACATGTTATATCCACTGGTGTCCATTTCCTCCCAGGATTCCAACTGCTGGAGAAACTATCATCACCGCCAGCCGGTGAGACAAGAGAAATGATGTGTCATATAAATACATCATTACCTCATTCATGGTCATCCATATCCTCCCTTGCCCAGGCTTTGTATCCAAGGAAAAAGAACGGCGAGTCAGCAAAAAAAATCTGGTTTTGTGGTTTCTTTTAATGGAAAGGAATGAATGGGAAAAATGACTTAACAGCTGCCCTCTTTTCCCACTGTCGTGTGAGTGCGTTATGGATCGCAGCATAGGAATATGGAGAGTAGGTCTATAGCCGAACTCTTGCTCACATTTTTACGCCTGTGTGTTGTGGGATCTCTGTCTCTCTTTCTGAATTACATTCAAGAAGCTATATTGGCTTGGAAAGTACAAGAACTCACATTACCAACGCAAAGCAAACATATAGGGACATTGAATGAATGATAACAGAAAAATCTCCCTCTGGAATTCTCAATATTTAATTGGCAGATTAAACAGATTTCCCAACGACCCATCTTTGAGCCTGCACAGTAATGGTAAAAGTGACCTTGAAAAATATGCCAACTTGTATTTTCCTTTGTGGTAAACCAGCAGGAAGGATAGCAATCAATTTAAATAATACCACTGAGAGTGACTCAGACAGTCTAAATTAGAGACTTCTAATAAACACAACTCGGTTCCTTGTAGTTTAGGTTATTCACTTGGTGACCCTGCCTGTCCATGGAAAACAAATGCATCCCACCTGTAGGCCTGTATTTAATGCAATTTTTCTTACCTAAATTGTTAACCTTCTTATTGTGGGTTATTTGTTTCAAAGAGTTCCAGCATAGTTCTGATGCAATGTTGAACCGCATTTGCAATTATGCCCATGAGTCACTAAATGACCTGTGTGCTACCCAATGATGGTTACTTGCATGTTTGGGTAATTGGTTATTGGTTACGAAATGAAACATAATTGATGCTCATGAAAACGTCAGCATACTGCTAAAAGTATAGCTTCCTCCACTGTCCCCAAACCAGGCTCGAACCAGTGATCCTCTGATCGCAAACACGTGACTGCCCTACTTGACAAAGTACCAACCAGTTGAGCTATAGAAAAGAACCAAATTGAATGGCTCTATTGGAGACATTTCAAGCTTACGGCATGTTCTTAACTCTGACACACAATGGCAGATTTTTTTTCTGTCCGCCTTCATTGGGCCTCACTTATGGTAAGAAACTGCCAGAGGAATTCCCCAAGCTTTTGCACTCTGAGACGTGGCGTAAATAGTATTGTGCTTCAGGACCACCAATCACCCTCATTCAGTGTGTATTTAGTTGTCCACCTGGATGCCTGAATAAGCCAGCCAGGTACTCAAAAAGAAAACACCTCTGTCCTTATAGCCTTGGCTAACCTCAGTTGAATGACAGCCAGCCAAAATCTCTATGGAACTATGCCCTCTGGACGCCAGCAGGATGGGATGGATGCACTGGGAAAAAGTTAACTTTGCACGTAGCTGCCACTGTGAGGGCATTTGAATGGCAGCTATCCATTGACCGAAGTGCTGGCTTGGCACACTGTTGACCTTTTGGTTCCCCTGGTATACCAAATGTAAAAAATATTTGAGACCCATCATGCTACCGGCATGCTTATGGCTAGCTACTGGATGGCTCTGAATGCACCGCTAGCATGCAGTCACAGCTTTGACCTCTTTTGTTATGTAAGTGTTCTTGTCTGACTCACTTTAGCTGTCCAGTCAGAGAACCTTTATGCGGAGAAGTTCCACTCTATTAAATTTTTTTGTCACACGGTGGTATACAGCGGAGCATCAACCTTGCAGTACCAAATTCTCTGTCAATAGAGGGCACACATCAAGGGACTATGTTGTCCTACCACCACTGAGGTGGCAGGACAGAGAAGAGCTGTGGCTGGGATGAGGGGTGGGGAAGCCAAGTGTCCACAGGTTGCTGAACAGAGTGCTTGAGCCGAGGCAGGGATGGGAAAAGATGCATCAAAATGTATATTGTTACAAAATACCCCCCACCCCCTCCCCCCAAAATAATTATCAAAATAAATGACAAAATACTGGTGCCAAATAAATACATGTATTTTATTTAAAATACGGAAAATACAAAATGCAAAAGTCGAGTCCCTTGTGGACCAAATTCACTGCATGATCCTCGCTCTGGAAGTGCATCCCTGTTTCAACTTTCTTTCAAGCTCCTCCACTCATCCACCAACACCTCTAAAGGCCTCAAAGGATCCTGCCATAAGACTTCTGATACCAATGCATTACATTTGGGGTAATAGGGGCCACAAAATTCTGAACCTCTTTTTAAAAAAAATAATATGGTAGAAAAGTATTTTGTAAATGTTCTGAAGTATCTTGTTACAAATCACACATTTTTTTCCAGGCCTTTCAAATACAAATTATAAAATACTCAAAAGTAATTGAAATTCAGATGATGATAGTCGTTTCATTTCCGTTGTTTCTGTCATGGCCTCTTCACCCCAGTGAGGATGGGGTTCTACTCAGTCCCTGGTCTCCAGAGCCACCCTGAGTTTCTGTCAGAAGACTCCGGTGTGCTCCCCAGCACTGGGCCAGTTCAAGTAGGTGCGTCTCTTCAGCAGCTTCCTCATGTGGTGGTACGGAGAGAGCTGCTCGGCTGGGATCTCCTCCAGAAACATCAGGATCAACACGTCCTTCTGCTCATCAAACAGACGGAAGATGGAGAGACCAGAGGCGAGAGTAAAAGTAAGTTAGGTGTGTTTGTGTGTGCTAAGAAAAGAGAGTAACCCCATAAGACAGTTTGCTAACGCAGTCTCGAGTAACATACAACCCAGGGTTTAAATATCCATTTGCTGTATTTGATACCTGTTCGAGTCACCCCAGTCTGATTAGGACATTAGACCCACCTCACCACCTGGATCTCTCTGGAGCACCACTCGCTCTCCAGGTAACGACGGCTGATCACACAGATGGTCTTTCTGCTCCCGTAGATGGCATCTGTGATGTTGTCCGTGATGAGTTTGCCTGTGGAATACAGTTGCAAACCAATCCTTGGTAAATACAGTGTCTGTGTCACTACTGTCAAATTTCCTGAATCTGGCTGGAGGTGAATCACATATCCATCATGTAAAATGTATACCGTTATTTTCGGGGTTTTCAATGTGTCCCCCTCCCCCCCCACCACACACACACAACTACATGGCTGGAAGTCCCGGTGTGGCACACAGTCTCCAGCCCTGCTCTCCCTCCAGCTCTGGCAGCAGCTCCTTCAGAACCCAGAGCTCATCATGGGCATTGTAGGAGACAAAGGCATCATACTGATAAGGCACACGCCTGTTCCTTCTCTTGATGTCGTGGAGATAAGCCAGGAAGACATATTAGGGATAGACCACCTGCCATCTCAGGAGATGGCAGATAAAAGGACCCCATCAGGGGGAAGAGGACCAGAGAAGTGGTGGAGATTAAGTAGAAGAAGCCTATGTCTACCCAACAGGAATGAATGTCAAGGTCCAACAGTTTATTGCCATTATAGCTGAGGTCAAGGGGTGTGAGTGAATGTGTTTGGGTGCAGCGTCTTAATCCAAAATCTCCTGCAATGAAAAATGATAACGATCTCAGACCTTCAACATTTTAGTCATTTAGCAGATGCTGTTATCCAGAGCAAGTAGGTTTTCAGTACCTTGCTCAAGGGCATATCGACAGATTTTTCAACTAGTCGGCTCAGGGATTTGAACCGGCGACTTTTTGATTATTGGCCCAATGCTCTTAACCACTAGCCTACATAGAAAGTTAAGCAGTAAACAATAAGGTACTCCTGGAGACCCAGATTGTCAATCAACAGGTAATCTAGAGATGACAGGTTAGAGAACGGTGGAGAGATTGGTTTATAGAAGATATTATTACAGGATATATCAAGGTTTCGTAAGCTTCTTGGTCCCGTGAACACAGCACTTGTAATATAATATTGATCTATTTGATTTGATGACAGATGGAGTATTGTAAGGTTGGCCAGTCGCTCAAAGGCCCCGGATTCCAGATGGAAAATTTGATTAAATAAAAATTATTGAGTGATCATAAACTTTTCTGTTCCGATTTCATTTAAGATTACTTCCGGTCAAATCCAATGTCTGTAGTTTCTGCAAACCCTCCTTGAAAGTATTACCCAAGGTCTGGATATTGTTGCTCCCAAAATGCATGGTCTTTTAGACCATCAAACCCTGGACAAAACAGCCTTTAAGGTTTGGGATGTTGTTGTTAAGATTGAGTTGTGCGAGTCCCGTGAGATTTTCACCACAGAAATTGCACCTTTTTCTGGGCTTTTAAAAGTAGTCCCATACATAGCCAGAAAAACAGCCTAACATTTTTTTGCAATGGAAGAAGAAAATGAATGTTTCTTATTGGTCAAGCCCATGTAGTCCCTTCCTATTTCAGTCCGTTTTCTTCTGTTTGATGCCTAATGAACATGCCCTAGCCCATCCTGCTTTGCAGTTTTCCGCCTAGACAGTCCCGGCAATGTCTCATCAGTGTCAAATTCCTCTGGGCCCCGCCACCTCGCCACGTCTACGAAGGCGGAGGAGGACATCTACAAAGCACCATTCACTCACTGCCCAGCCACCAACACAGGTGACACCATGGCACACTACCGCTGCACCAGGTGTATTGAACTCCAACTCAATGCCCATATGCAGCATGTACAGTGCATTCGGATAGTATTCAGCCCCCTTGACATTTTCCACATTCTGTTACGTTACAGCCGTATTCTAAAAATTATTAAATAGTTTTTTTCCCCTCATCAAGCTACACACAATACCCCATGACAAAAAAGCAAAAACAGTTTTTTTGGAAAAAAAATCTAATATATTACAGGTTTTTATTTGAAATAATACATTTACATAAGTATTCAGACCCTTTACTCAGTACTTTGTTGAAGCACCTTTGGCAGGGATTACAGCATCGAGTCTTCTTGGCTATGACGCTACAAACTTGGCACACCCGTATTTGGGGAGTTTCTCCCATTCTTCTCTGCAGAGCCTCTCAAGCGCTGTCAGGTTGGATGGGGAGCGTTGCTGCACAGCTATTTTCAGGTCTTTTCAAAGATGTTTGATCAGGTTCAAATCCAGGCTCTGACTGGGCCACTCAAGGACATTCAGAGACTTGTCCCGAAGCCACTCCTGCGTTGTCTTGGCTGTGTGCTTAATGTCATTGTCCTGTTGGAAGGTGAACCTTCACCCCAGTCTGAGGTCCTGAGCGCTCTGGAGCAGGTTTTCATCAAGGATCTCTCTGTACTTTGCTCCGTTCACCTTTGCCTCGATCCTGACTAGTCTCCCAGTCCCTGCCGCTGAAAAGCATCTCCACAGCATGATGCTGCCACCACCATGCTTCACCATAGGGATGGTGCCAGGTTTCCTCCAGACGTGACGCTTGGCATTCAGGCCAAATAGTTCAATCTTGGTTTCATCAGACCAGAGAATCTTGTTTCTCATGGTCTGAGAGTCTTTAGGTGCCTTTTGGCAAACTCCAAGCGGGCTGTCATGTGCCTTTTACTGAGGAGTGGCTTCCGTCTGTCCACTCTACCATAAAGGCCTGGTTGGTGGAGTGCTGCAGAGATGGTTGTCCTTCTGGAAGGTTCTCCCATCTCCACAGAGGAACTCTGGAGCTCTGTCAGAGTGACCATTGGGTTCTTGGTCACCTCCCTGACAAAGGCCCTTCTCCCCCGATTGCTCAGTTAGGCCGGGCGGCCAGTACTAGGAAGAGTCTTGGTGGTTCCAAACTTCTTCCATTTATGAACGATGGAGGCCACTGTGTTCTTGGGGCCCTTCAATGCTTCAGACATTTTTTGGTACCCTTCCCCAGATCTGTACCTCGACACAATCCTGTCTCGGAGCTCTATGGACAATTCCTTCAACCTCATGGATTGGTTTTTGCTCTGACATGCACTGTCAACTGTGGGACCTTATATAGACAGGTGTGTGCCTTTCCTAATCAATTACCACAGGTGGACACCAATCAAGTTGTAGAAACATCTCAAGGATGATCAATGGAAACAGGATGCACCTGAGCTCAATTTCGAGTCTCATAGCAAAGGGTCTGAATACTTACGTAAATAAGGTATTTCTGTTTTTTATATTTAATACATTTGCAAAAGTTTCTAATAACCTCTTTTCACTTTGTCATTATTGGGTTTTGTGTGTAGATTGCTGAGGATTTTTATTTATTTAATCCATTTTAGAATAAGGCTGTAACGTAACAAAATGTGGAAACGGTAAAGGGGTCTGAATACTCTTCCTCATATAGTTTTTTGACCAATTAAATAAGCTTAGAGAAATTTGATTCAAACAACTGGAGAAGATGGTGCTGCTTAAAATACAGTGCCTTTAGAAAATATTCACACCCCTTGACTTTTTCCAAATGTTGTGTTACAGCCTGAATTTAAAATGAATTAAATTGAGATTTGTTGTCAATGGCCTACACACAATACCCCATAATATCAAAGTGGAATGATGTTCTCTGACATTTTTACAAATTAATTACAAATGAAAAGCTTTAGTCAATAAGTATTCTTCATTGTAAACAGAAGGCTAATATGAATGTTATGCATGCCAGTCTCTCTTGGCTAAGAGCTAAGGAAAGACTGACAGTGTCACTTCTTGTTTTTATAAGAAACATTAATGTGTTGGAAATTGTTTGCATAGTCAATTTACACACAGCACTAATGCACACACTTACCCAACTAGACATGCCACCAGGGGGTCTTTTCATAGTCCACAGGTCCAGAACAAATTCAAGGAAACAGACAGTATTATAGAGAGCCATGAGTGCATGTAACTCCCTTCCATCTTATATAGCGCAAGTGAACAGCAAAACTGGTTTCAAAAAACAAATAAAGCAACACCTCACGGCACAACGCCTCTCCTCCATGTGACTTACTTGTTGTGTGTATGTACTGACATGTATGTGTAACTGATAGATGTACACACACACACTACATGTTAATGTTTTTAAATGTATGTAAATTGTAAAATATTTTGTCTAATGTATTTTTCGTAATATGTCGGATCCCAGTAAGACTAGCTGTCGCCATTGGCGTCGGCTAATGGGGAGCCTAATAAATCAAATCAGATAACTTGTTATGGCAAGCCTTAATAAGTTCAGGAGTAAAATATTTGCTCAACAAGTCCCATAATAAAGTTTATTGGACTCACTCTGTGTGCAATAATAATGTTTAACATGATTTTTGAATGACTACCTCATCTCTGTACCCCACACATCTGTAAGGTCGAGCAGTGAATTTCAAACACAGATTCAACCACAAAGACCAGGGAGGTTTTCCAATGCCTCGCAAAGAAGGGCACCTACAAGCAAGCATTGAATAGCATGGTGAAGTTATTATTTACAATTTGGATGGTGTATCAATACACCCAGTCACTACAAAGATAAGCGTCCTTCCTAACTCAGTTGCCAGAGACGAAGGAAACCACTCAGGGATTTCACCATGAGGCCAATGGTGGCTTTAAAACAGTTACGGAGTTTAATGGCTGTGATAGGAGAAAACGGAGGTGGATCAAAAACACTGTACTTACTCCACAATACTAACCTAATTGACAGTGAAAAGAAGGAAGCTTGTACAGAATAAAAACATGCATCCTGTTTGCAATAAGGCACTAAAGTAAAACTGCAAAATATGTGGCTAATAATTTATGTTCTGAATACAAAGCGTTATGTTTGGGGCAAATCCAACTCAACACACCACTCTTCATATTTTCAAGCATGGTGGTGGCTGTATCATGTTATTGGTAGGGAGGGACAAGGGAGTTATTTATGATGTGAAAGAAAAGGAATAAAGCTACGCACAGGCAAAATCCTAGAGGAAAATCTGGTTCAGTCTGATTTCCAACAGACACTGGGAGACAAATTCACCTTTCAGCAGAACAATAACCTAAAACACATGGCCAAATATACACTGGAGTTGCTTACCAAGACCACATTGAATGTTCCCGAGTGGCATAGTTCTAGTTTTGACTTAAATCGGCTTGAAAATCTATGGCAAGACTTGAAAATGGCTGTCTAGCAATGATCAACAACCAACTTGACAGAGCTTGAAGCTTGAAAAGAATAGTGTGCAAATATTGTACAATCCAGGTGTGGAAAGCTCTTAAAGACTTACCCAGAAAGGCTCACAGCTGTAATCGCTGCCAAAGGTGATTCTAACATGTATTGATTCAGAGGGTTGAATCTAATCGAGGTATACTGTATTAGTGTTTTATTTTTCATGTACACTACCGGTCAAAAGTTTTAGAACACCTACTCATTCAAGGGTTTCTCTTTATTTTTT